CGTCTTTATGGGTTTGGAACGGGGCCAGGCGCTCTTTAAACATAAAGGACATTGAACAGAATCAGGGGGAGCTAATTAAAGTAGAAGATAGAAAATCACAGGCCTGTTAAGACAGGCACCGGCCGTATCGACGCTCACATATAGTCTTAATGAAGGCATGCGTACACATGTACAACCATAAAAACACCAGAACACACACTAATGGTTTTACACAGAGCCGGGAGCGATTTGACCATTAATCTGCAGTGTCATGTGTGTGAGCAGTAGCCTGTGGTTTATGCGTCCTGACTGAACATTAGCCCGCTCGCCTGTACTCCCAACATTGCTGCTGCAAGCAATCTCAGACTGTTTTCTTTCAGCTATGCGCCTATAAAAAGAGCCAGGACATTGTGTGATTTTACCCTCAGCGTTATTAGCTGTGATGTATCACGCAAACCACAGCCCGACGGCGTCTGTTTCCATTTTGGGGCAAGAGTGAAATCAGAAGCTTGAATACATTGTCTCGATCATTATCAACTTTACATAATGAATCAGGGTGATTGAGTGGTGAGGAAAAACAGGTTTTTACTTCTTCTGAACAAAAGTTTTTACTACCGTGATGCAAGGGTGTTTGGAGTGGTTGCTAGCGGTTTCAGTGTGATTGCCGGGTGGTGCTGTGTGGCTTCTAGGGTCCACCTGGTGGTTGCTAGGATCTAAATGGAGGTTGTCTGGGCATTCTGGGGATTGTTAGGACGATCTAGGTGGTTGCTAGGTGGTTCTGAGTGGTTGCTAGGGTCCATCTAGTGGTCGCTAGGAGTTCTAGGGGTTGCTAGGTGGTTCTGAGTGGTTGCTAGGGTCTATCTAGTGGTCTCTAGGAGTTATAGGTGTTGCTAGGTGGTGCTGTTGCTAGGTTGTACATGGTGGTTGCTAGAGGTTCTGGGTGGTTACTAGGGTCTATCTAATGGTCACTAGGAGTTATAGGGGTTGCTATGTGGTTCTGAGTGGTTACTAGGGTCTATCTAGAAGTCGCTAGGAGTTGCTAGGTTGTACATGGTGGTTGTTAGTGGTTCTGGGTGGTTTCTAGGTGGCTGGTGGGTTGTCCTGTGTAGTTGTTATGGTCTAAACTGTAGTTGCTATGGGGTTGTCTGGGGGTTGATAGGAAATTTTAGGTGTTTGCAAATTGAGGTTGTCTGGGCATTCTGGGGTGGTTAGGATATTCTAGTTGGTTGCTGGGTCATTCTGTGGTTGCTAGGGTCTATCTAGTTGTCGTTAGGAGTTCTAGGAGTTGCTAGGTGGTTCTGAGTGGTTGCTGAGTGGTACCGTGTGGTTGCTAGGGTCTATCAAGTGGTCGCTATAAATTGTAGGGGTTGCTAGGTGGTTCTGAGTGGTTGCTAGGTGGTTAGTGTTTTTTTCTGTGTGGTTATGGTCTAAATTGTAGTTGTTATGGGGTTGCTAGGACATTCTAGGTGTTTGCTGGGTTTGTTCTGTGTGCTTGCTAGAGATACAGAGAGGTTGTTAGGACATTGCAAAGTCCAATCTACTGGGGAGTTAGTAAGACATTGTAAAGTGATTGCTATGAAATTCTGGGTAGTTAGGATAATGTTGCTAGGGTGTTCTGCATTGTTGCTACAACATTAAGGTGGTTGCTTAGTGGTTTGTCTTAGCAAACACCACCATAGATGCAGAACAAAATGAGGGGAAATTAGATAAATGTTTTTTGCAATTGTGTGTGCAAAATTTTATCAATGTTTATAATTTTTTTCGATTTAGCTAATTATGCCGAAAGTACATCTTTCAATAATGAATATTTGTCTTTACGAGCATGGTTGATTTAGCTAATTATAAAAGAGCAGCGTGAGACAAAACAAACAGAAGGCATTCAATACTCTCATCTAAATGAGTGAAACGCGTCTCCTCCAGCTCAATCACGACCAAAGCTTAACAGGACAAATAAATCGTATCGCTGAAAAATGATTTAATGTTTGCTTTATAGCTAGTATAAAACCGGACACAATGCTAATGTCATAGAGCAGATGAAAAGTGGGACAGAGTGATGAATAAAACTTCAAATAAGGAGAGATATAGAGAAAGGAAGCGAGAGTCCAACAGAAAGGCGGTGAAACTCGTCCCCTGACACCTTCATGAATAGTGAAACAGAAGTAAAGGACGATAGGATGTGCTCTCCACATCCGTCATGGTTTCCAGTTGCTTTAGAGATGCTCCTTATTCAATATTAGCTTACACGGCCCACAATTACAGCGTCAGCCGTGGACTTCAAAGCCGCTTTGCTGCTTTGATACTGTTGCTTTGAGAGATACACACTACCTGAATTCAGCTCAGTTTAATTACAGTATTTCCTTAGGTCTTGTTGAAGATCATTTTAACCTTTTGGTAGAGTGCTTTTTGAATTATGATATGCTTTTGAAAACAGTTTTGTATTTAACTCAATAATTAAAGGCATAGACACCCAAAAATGAAAATTCTGTCATCATTTACTCAACCTCAAGTTGTTCCAGACCTGTGTAAGTTTATTTCTTCTGCTGAACACAAAAGAAGATATTTTGAAGAATGTGGGTAAAAGATGACATTTTTGGGTGAACTGTCCCTTTACGGCATTTCTACTACTTTTTTACAATTACAATTATTGTGATGATATGATATTGATGATGAGACATTGAAATTCTGTCTAATACAGCTAAGGTAATAATTATTTTTATTGTCAGTAACCAGGGGTGCACATAAGTGGTGCGCTGGTGTGCATGCCCAACCAAAATAAAAAAAGTGCTGTGTAAATAAATTCAGACCGCTCATTTATGTACAGACATGGCTGACAGCTGGTAATGTGCACTACCACAGTTTTATATTGACTAACTGTAATGCTGTATAAGATTTCTATTCGAACTGAAAGTATAAATCTAGGCTATGCGCTGCTATTTCATAGCAAAATGCAAAACGTACATTTCATTCACTGACATGCTTCACTCGGCAGCGCTAAACCTGGCAGCGCATATGCTTACATGCTAGCAATCCGCCAAAATAAAAGCTTGTTGATTTTAGGTTTGAAAATGATGCAAAATTCATACAAAAATAAATAAATTAATAAAATTTTTTTTTTTTAATTAAATGTAAATATTAGCATTTTTATACTATAAATTTTTTTACAATTTAATACTCACTTAT